AGAGCGGTGACAGAGTGAGGTGGGAACTAGCTGTCTCACAGGGCTGCTCTGCTCTGCTCAAATCTCAGAGGAGTAAAGGAAACGCTCCTTACAATGATGGAGAGAGCAGGGTGTTACAGCAGGGACAGCACCTGCCCATGAGCTGCTGGGTCACTACAGAGAGCCCTGACAGAGAAAGCACGGGCAACTTAGGTCCTGGATGAGCTGGAAGTACAGCCGGCAGGACATTCAGACCGAGGACAGATGGTGGTTCTCCTCCCCAAAAAAGGGCCGATGCTCTTTCCTGTGGGCAAGACCTAGTCCTGCCCTCCCCTGACTCTGCACATTCTGCAAAGGCAGCATTGACAGCGCTTGGGAAATGCTCCAGAGCTCCCTGACACTCTCATGCTGCAGCGCAGTGCAGACAGGTGGGCTAAGAGCAAGCTTTAAACTCCAAGGTCCTTTTAGCCTCCATGGGAAGAAGAGGCTGAGCAGTTCTCCAGCACTGAGCTAACTGGACACACCGCAGGGAGCATGTCCAGCCTGGAAAGGGAAAGTTTCCATTTCAGATGAGCATCTCCCTAAAGAAAGGTTCCTTCTGTCCCCTCACTTGACAAAGTTGCTCTAAGCCCTTTGCACATCCCCTCACAGGACCAACCCTCTGTGTCCAGACCTGCTCGCTCCAAAATGTTCAGCATTACGGAACTGCACAAAGATTGTCTCAAAAAGCCCGAATGCTTGAGGCAAGACTTGGAATGACTATGCTGCAAAAGGTCTGGGTTTCTCCGCATCTCTTGGGACCAAGCACAGCTCCAGCTCGCAAAGTTCATTCACTGAGATACTCCATGAAGGTGGGGCTCAGGTGCTTCCTGCACAGAGGCTAAGCAGCTTTAGAGACCCCCAAAATGAGGGGAAGGAATAAAATCTCCATCAATGATGCTTAAACAATCTTAAACGAGATGCTTGATTTCAGTTGGCTGGACAGCCCTGATGAGGCTAAACCCACCAGCCCAGGAACAAGGTGTAGCAGGCAGCTGCGCCTCAGCTCAGCTCAGCCCCAGCCCAGCCTCCTGCGTTCCTCCCCAGAGCTACATTCCTCCAGCGCAGCACCCAAAAGCAGCATCTGAAGGTGCAGAAGGGATGCGGCTCCCTCCAGCCTCTCTATGCATGGCATCAGGCTTGTGGAGGGGAAAAAAAAAACCCAACAAAACAAAGGCTGAATTTTTAGCATTTTGAAGCCTCTTGCTTTTCAGCCCAGAGGCAGGTTAGTCTGTAGGTATTGCACTCCTCCCCTCTCCCCTCTGCCAAACTGCGGAGCCCGTGTTGCACTGCCCACAGAGCCTGCAGAGCGCAGGCGGGACTGGCACAAGCAGACGAGGTGGGTCAGGAGCCGATTCCCAGCCTACTGCAGGGGCTGTCATGGAGCGCTGCTACTAGCTGGGTGAACGAGCTGTCAAGTAGCGACCGAAAGGGGAGAGTTTAAGACTTTTGATAGATTATTTGGTAAATACATGAATACATCTAATGGCAGCAGCTTGCAAGATCCCCAGCCTGTGCTCTTGAGAGAAGCACACCTTACAGCCTTCAGCATCTGCAGACAAGGGGGGGAAGGCTGGGTCCCATACTTCTAGGCAAGAAAACATCAATTCATGAAGATCCTCACCAAGTTCAGCACATTGCAGAGGGGAAGAGCTTCCTGCCAGCCCAGTTACCTTCTGGGACCTGAATTAACCCATCCCGAGTGCTGCTGTGAAGACAGGTTGGGGACTGAGCCCCGAGAGAAGGGTCCTGCTTCCCCACTCCACTACAAGGAATCCCAAGGACAGTCTGAAGATTGTAACGAGAATAAAGAGATTTTGACCCTCTTTCTCACGTGAGGCTCGTAAAGTACATGAATAAGACCTGGGTCCCTCTGGTCTAAAGGGTTTCCTTTCTTCTCTCTGGGAGAAGAGGATGGGATTGCTCAAGTTCAAGACAATGCTATGGTGTGTGTCCTGCTGACAGATGGATGAGCGTAGTCTCAACACCACCCAGTGACACCAAATCCTCTCGCCTAAAGCCTGCAGCCCTCGAAAAGCAAACTATCTCAGACATCCAAAGCAGCGATTTCCAATGGCAGATGTTACCACAGGCAACATCCCACGCACCCAGCTTTTTGTCCAACAGAGTCTGTGAACACAACACCGCCTGGCACAGTTAGGTGGCAGAGCCAGGCTTCTGTTTCTGCCTCCAGTGTGTGCGGACGTGCACGCGCCTCCCTGACTGCCCTGAGGTACGGAGGATACGTGTGAACCCAATGTTCGTGACCCCCCGAGGACTGGGTGGTCGGATACACCCATGAGCATGCGAGGTGCTAAGTGGCTCCAGTAGGATGCAGTGTCCGGACAAGCCACACCTGGGGCTGAGCAGACGGGGGAACTTGCACTCCAGCGCGGCTAGTCCCTGGAGGTGCACAGTTCTCATCGGTCCGTGCCTGTGTGTCTGGAGCGGGTGGCGGTGCGACAGCCGGTAAGACGAAGTGTGGACTCCGAGCACAGAGGGACGGGGTGACGCAGCAGTGCAGCACATGGTGAAGGCAGAACCCATTGCAACATCCGGAGGAGAGCCGAGGTGACCATGTCACTGTCGCCAGGAATTGTTTGCTTCCCCCGCACAGTGTTACAGATCAAGAGAAGTCACTAGCAATTTTTGAATCCAAGTAAATTGGCATGGCTACTTTGGACTACTGTAACGTGGGAGCAAATTCTATTCAATGGCCTTTAATACATTGCATTTACATAGCACCTTTCATCCCAGGGTTTAAGTGCTTTAACGGAAGTGGGTACTGTACACCCATTAGCACGGGGGAAACCGAGGCACAGAGTGGTTAAGTGACTTGCCTTAGGTCACTCAGCAAAACCGTGGCAGAGCCTGGACAGCCTTAAACCTCCTGACTCCATCAGTTGGTTAGACCACGCTGCTGCCTCAAATGAAGCCACTCCGGTCCCTGCCCTCCCCAGCAACGTGCTCCTACCAATTCTCCAGTGAGGTCTCACTCCTTTCTGATGCACAAATATATGACAAAAAAAAAAAGTGCAGTAAACTAAATGTTTAAAAAAGCACATTTGTGCTGTCTCTGTGCAAAGATAAAAGAAATAAATACATGATTAAAAAATTAAAAAGGTTCACAGTATCACACATGGATAGGTAGCTACGGTAGTGCACGTCTGGAAAACACTGTGTTACTACCCAGGATTCTCTACACCCAGCTGGATGTCTCCATTGGGAGCTGTGGGTGAGCGGGTGGTTTCTTTGCTGCCCACGTCTGGGATAAGTAGAAATAAACGGTTATAGTTTTGTTCCGTTCTGAAATGCAGTGCCCGGGATCCTGCAGTGCAGCAATACTGGTGTCAGCAAGCTCTTCCCCATCCCACTGGAACGGCTGCATCAACGAAAAGGGAACACATCGACCTGCAGAGGGAATCGCTGCTCTCTGGGGCTTCTGTGTCTGCATAGAGATTACTGCAAGAGGCAGAGAAAAGAGAGTCAACACCCAAGCACCCGCCTGGCATTCAGTTAGGTCTGACCCCGGCCAACTCCCCAGAATCCAAACAAGCATGAAGAGAGAAGGCTGTTTCGCATCCTCCAGTAATGACAACACGACTGGAGAACTTCAGCTCCCCAAAGCTTTCACTGCACCAAACGATTCGGAACAAGCCACAACCCTTGCTGAGCAGACTGGGTGTCTCTGCCAGCGCAGGAGAGCTCGCCTGCTGCTACAGAGCTGATCCAAGATTCAGCAGGGCTCTGCCGCAGCCATGCAAGAGCCCCATGCTGCACAGAGGCCACAGCGGCTCCCCCTGCAAGCTGACCTTGCAGAGGGAGCGCAAGCTCCGACCTCGACCCACCGGGCACCCGGCACACGTTTCTTGTACACTTACTGTATCGCTCTCCTCATCCGAGACAGAGTGGAGTTGAGCGCTATAGTGGAGCGGGGAGTAAACCCAACTCCTCTCGTCTGTCGGCTGCCAGAGTGGCCAGAGACGGCGGGGAGAATGCAAGGAGAGCAGCAGCAGAGCAGGGAGCAAAGGAGAGAAGAGGAAAAAAATAAAAGGAGAAAATAAAAAGAGTAGGAAACAATACAGTAAGAACAGCTGTCCACCTGGAGGGAGAGAACTGAGCTCAGTGCCAGCTTGTAGCAGAGGAGCCTTCCTCATCCTCAGTTACATACCTGCTCCCTACCAGCTGGGACATGGGACAGCCCGCCAGCAGCTGACATTGTACCCTGCTCCGGCTGCAGTGGGGATGGCACAACCTCTCCTCTCACAAGGACAGATTTTTAGAGCTTTTGAGATGTCAGGGAAACCTCAGCTCCCTGCCATAGCATCACCCCCGCTCCAGAGAAACCGAGACATGGGAAATGACTTACCTAAGGGCAGTGACAGAGCTCTCAGTTGCTGCTACCCACTCCCAGTTCCCAACCTCCCGTGTCCTGAGCCCTGTGTGTGCTACAAGCTGGCATCTCTGGTGTCCAGGAGGGCTTTTGCAGTGAAACCTGTTCTGGTTTGCTGTGCCTTCCCCCTTCCCTGCAGGCCAAGCAAGGCAGCAATGGGTGGGTTAGGCCATGGTGGATGGTGGCCACAGAAAGGAAACAGTTATTGCTGAGAGTCTTGGAGACAGTGGAGTGATGGGAACAAGTACGACAAAGGAGGCAAAACACAACTGGATCTTGGAAAGAATAAGGGGGAAGGGGACATGTGTCGAGAGCACAGGTTTATCACAGCACGGGGCATCGGTGTGACAAAACAGGCTTCTGCTGCTGACACAGCACTGAGAAGCCCAGGCAGATTCAAGGGCTGGTGTCTGCTTCCAGTGTTCCCAGGGGACACCCACTTCCACTGCAAACAGGCTCTTTTGGCTCCAGAGGTGCTCCCAGAGAGGGGAAACTGCCTGCTTTGACTCAGCCTGGGGTTTGCAAAGGAAGAGAAATGGAACTGGGTACTTGGAAGAAGCCTGGGGGGGTTCCCAGCCCAGAAACCAAAAGTAACAGTCTACGATGTACAAGAAACTACAAGAAGCCAGAGGAGCTTTGAAGCACTGGGCTCCGCATGCTGAACCCCATCAATAATTGCAGCTACATTAGCAGAGACCGCTGGCAGGGAAGGAAGAGAAGTCCTTGCCTGGAGCTTCTTACAGGGCTTTGCTAGAAGTGCAGGAAAGCTCAGCACTGTGTGAAGTCTGCCCCGCATCCTGTTTTTCATCCCTCCGGACTGAACCACATGCTCTAGCCAGCCTCTTTCAGAGCTTTTGAGGAGTTCCGATGCATGCAGGGAGCTGCAAACCCAGCGGGGAGATAAAGGAGCATCCGGTGCTTGGTATTAACCCTCCTGGTGCCGGGGCAGCCAAACCCAGCCGAGGGGACAGGAGGAATTGCCCGTTTGCCGATATAGGTGCAGCACTTTCCTCTTGCCAAGGCCAGGAGCACATTGCACCCTGCTTCCCCCTGCACCCTGCCTGATGCCTTCTCCACTGCTCCCCTGCCTGGTACCATAAAGGCAGGCGCTGGGAGGACCACACCATACAAATGCTCGTGCCAAGGTTCTGACAGCACTGCCATTACCCTCTAAGGACATCAGCTCTCCCAAAGCCTGAGAAGGAAAATACTAAAATCCAGAGCAGCCTGAACTCTGGATTCAGCCCCTAAATGCTCAACTGCCTCCCTGCATCTTTTGTTAAGAAAAACTCTCACCGCTCACAGAAAACTTGCAGTGAGGAGGAAGCACATGGGTGATGCTGAAAAGGGCTGGAGAACCAAAATCATCCCTAACCCAGCAGCAACTCCTAACTCATTTGTGTTTATGAGCTGCTCACCAGCCCAGCCACCAGAAAGACGACCAGCCACGAGCCTAATAGGTTATATTTGCAACTGGATTTTTAGCAGCTTCAAAACATCTTAATGGTTTCTTTAGAACCCTGTCTGCCTTCCTGGGCCAAGGGAGCCAAGTCTAACATTACCTACAAAGGCTCAGGTGCCTCTCTGTCCAGGTCTGGTGCTTGCAAGTTTGTCCAAGGGCTGGATGATACTGCAGCCCATCCCATGGCAGGAGCTGTGTCACCAGCCTGCCGAAAAGTGGGGCAGAGCACGTGTTTCTGTAAGATCCTACAGGGAGATCCATTTGTGGGATTTCGATATGCTTCCCTGGTTTCTGCCGGGCTGGGACCAAATGGCCAAACAATACAGAGCCACAGCAGCCAAGGAAACGGAGTGCTGGCCCCAGTGTTTCAAAGCTGCAGCTCTGCTTCCCTACGTGCTAGCATGTTCACTTACAATCCCAGAGGAACGTGAGGTGGTTCGGAGTCTGCGCTGCCGGGGAGAGTAAATCCAGTACCTCCCATCTGTGAACTGGATGGCCCCAGGGCAAGTGAAGTGAGAAAGGAAACAGGAAAAAAAGGATGATGTGAAAGAGAGGATGAAAGAGAAAGCAAAAAACAAAGGGTTGGGCAACTCCAGGCCTGAATGGATCAGCGGGCAGGAAAGCCGTGCGTGGGAAGAGCAGCGCCCATGCCCTGCCACAATCTCTGCACTTTTATTCCCCTGTAGGTGGACAGGAGGATAAAGTGTTCTCCTTTTAGGAACAGACTTCCAAAGATCAGATCACACAGTCCCCCAAGACTCGTCAAATCATCCTCTGCACACAGCATCCCTTCACCAACCATCGCCCCTGGAGCACTCCTGCAAGAGAGCAGCTGTGGTCCGAGCCCCGCTGCACTCTGCAGCCTCAATTGAGCTCCAGCTCAAGTGGTTTTCCAAGGAGAGCACCCGTGGGAACCCAAATCAGCTTTTCCCTTCATCCCAGCAGTGACAAACACTCCACAGCACACGACACACATTTAATGCAAAACTCAAGGACTTAGATGAAGTATGAAATGCTGATGAGCAGTCAGTCACGCTCTCTGTGAGCACACACGGCACACAGATGGTTTCCTCCGGATACAGAGGTGCCCCTCAAGTTGGGGGGAGTGCATATGCCCAGGGACAGGGAGGAAGAGGAGTTGACCCTTGCTAGAAGACACTTGCCAGTGGAGCAGGCAATATCTGCAGGCAGCTTGCACACAGCTGCCATCCACAGGCAAAGAAAGAGCAGCCAGTGTTAGAGGGAGCTGTTTGCATTTTGAACAGCATGCATAAAAACCCAAACAGACAAGCTTTTAAAATGGAGCCGATTCCTTCCACAGCTCCCACGAGCCTTGGAATGACTCGGCAACGAGTGAGCAGCTCTGCAGCAGAGTCACGCAAACACAGAGAAAGGCAAACGTTGCCATTTTTAGGTTAGCCTGAAGGAGCTCATCACAAGGGCTCAGCTCATCTCCATTGCCATGGAACTGACAGCAACGAGCTGGAGCAGGGAGGAGCTGGGCACCTCTTTTAATGAGAAGGTTCCAGTGCCCAGGTGTGGAGGATAGCTCTCACGGGTCAGACCCTCAGCTCTGCTCTGGTAGTCCACCAGGCAAGTATGTGTTACTAAAAAACCTCTTCTCTGGTCTGCAGAAACTGCTCAGACATTGCAAGAGCTGACTGAAGAACACAGCGCCAGGCTCCACAGCACTCTGCTGCCAACCAGCAACCACCTCACTTACTCCCTGTCTCAGCACTAGATTTCCACTGCATCACCTAACGTATCTGCCTGCAGGGAAAGGAAAAGCCAGAGTTCACCAGAGCCCGAGGTCAGCCCCGCTGCAACCACCTCCCTTCTGGCTCTAGGCCACTGCAGCATGTTTGTTTCCAGGAAAGCAGCTGGGCTCTCTGGCTGAGGAAGGAAGAACCTCTCGGTTGCACCTACATTCACCTTGGCTTGTTCTGGGAGTGAACACGCTGGCCTAGATAAGCCCTTCAGCACTTGTGCTTGGAAGTAGAGCAGCACACCTATGGCTACATCCACAGCAGCAGTGCCACCCATTTGAGCCCCACTAGATATTGTTTTGAGTTCTCCAAGGGTTAATCTAGTTCCCTGCGTTCGAAATCCCATCCAGCGTTAAGATCTGGAGGTAATCAACACCAAGACGGCATGGGGCAGGCACTGCCCTGCACCCAACTGCCTGAAATCGAGACTGTTACAGCCTCGTCCAACCTTTCCCATCACACCCCTAATGGACCAGGTGGAGAAGTTATCTTACAAAGTATATGTCTGTGACTGGCACGTCATCTTCATCCGAGGCCTGGCTGGCTGGTTCGGGGGCCTGGCTGGCTGTCTCCACCTCTATTGTAGCCGTGGACGTTACAATGGCACAGGCTGAAGAAGCCGCCTCTCTGGAGGGGGGAAGAAACAAGTCTGGTCACCGCGATCAGAAAAGGAGCAAGTAAGACTGTATGGTTTATTACAGAGGAACTGAAGATGCTCTGCTGTCACATCCAGCGAGATCAGGTCAGGTCAGGAGAACAGCGCTGAGCTTCACTAAACTCTCTGGGGGAGCACCGGGAAAGCTGGTGCCCTACAAAGTCAGACTCCAGCACAAGTTGCCACAGACCAAAGGACACCGGGTAGGCTCTGCAAACTGCCCGATGCTCCGAAACACTCACTCTTTGTCATCTTCTTTGGGAGCTACGATCTCAACATCACACTTGGGCTCCAGCTCGACGCTGATCTGCTGAAGCTCCTCCTCAACTCGCACCTCCTCGTGTGACCTGGAAACCGAAGAGAGAGGCCCAAAGGCTCAGTTGGGCACTAGTTACACACAGTCCTCAATTTTAGGTCAGCCTGAATCAGTCCTGAGTCAGCCCAGCCTCTCGCACCGCAACCTCCCACAGGAGTGAGCTGTGCTGGTCTGCCCTGGCATGCGGCTGCCTGCTGCCACGCACTCGCGGCACCAAGCTCCCGGCACAGACCGAGCTGTTGATTTCGGCTCAGAGGAGCTGTCAGACCTCCCAGGATTGAGGATTTGGATAACCAAAACTCCCAGGCTAAAGAGTCAGTCCTGTCAGATTGCAGTGCTAAAGACTAACGAGGTGGGAAAAGAGGACAAGAGAAAAGGGATTAATTAGCCAGGGCTGCAGAAAAGATGGGCAGTGTCAAATGGAGCATGGGAGGAAAGAGGAGAATTGGCCTCTGGGGAAAACCTGCATCCAGACTTAGCCCAGCATTATCTATCAACCACACAAGGGCGAAAGCCTCCAACCTCTTCCGAGACTCCCAGGGCATTAAAGCTGCTCAAGCGCGCTCCAGGGTTAACATCAGATTTATCTGCACGCTCAGGAGCTGTTTGTGACAGTCTTCAATTTAATATCTCATGCTATTAAAGTAATTGCTTGTGCTAGCGGGGCTGGCTCCACAGTCCTCATGGGAAGGAGGAGCGGGTGCTTGCCAAGTCGAGGGCACAGTCTCGGGGAAGGGACGAGCTCCGGGTTTATCGGCAGTACCGTCCTGCCCCGCACTGTCCCTGGCCACGAGCCGGAGCCAGCAGGCGGCACTCCTGTCCAGCTTGGTGCTGGCGATCTCGCTCCTCTCCTCCTCAGAGGGGTGGATCTCAGAAACCCGTAGGGAATTCCCTAGCAGATGAGAATAATCAGAGGTGTGACACGTTCTTGAGCAAATTGGATAAGGTCTTTTTCATTCCAGCTCAGGAATGCAAATTCATGCATTAATAACTTTGTTCTTGCACTGGCTTTCAGCAGGGGATCACAGAATGCTCTACAAGTACACAGGTCCCTGCTCCCCTGGAAAGGACATGCTGAGATACCAGCACCAGAAATAGAGAAACTAGGCAAAAAATAGCAAACGTGGACACACTCATGTGGGGTGGTTGTCACTGTGGCAAATCTGAGACAGACAGATCTACTCCTCACCAAACTGCTAAGCTCCCCGCATGGTCCAGCGACAGTCAATTTGATTCACCTGACCTATTTCTGGATGAAATCACATCCTACAGCAGCTCCCTCCATGAGGGACCAAGGGAGTCGGGAGTAACTTGGGTGAAGTCACTGCATTTTGTTAATCGGATCCCCCCACTGCTGCCTGAGCAATTTCAGACATGGTGAGGTGCTTCGCAGGTCCCCAGTACTTTAACAACTGCTGCAAATCAACAGCAAGTAGGTCCTTGCCCTCCAGTGACAGGAATTTACCAAGATTCAGTGACATAGAGCATCTAGAGGTATTTTCATTGAGACATACAACAAAAGGGATTTTTTTCACTGTGTATGTGGTCTGAAGCTCAGCAAATCACTAAAAGCTAGGAACGAAGGGAGATGACCGTAAGAGGGTGCAAACCCTCATCTTCCAAAGTCCTTGCCTGCCTTTGAAGCACCAAACACCAACTGTAGGGAGAGAGGACATCAGCCTGTCCAGCAGCTCCTCTGGCTACGGCATATCCCAAGACTGAGTCTGTGATGTGCATTTCAAAGACTATGCCCCAGCTTTCCAGGACATCTTGTAAGTGTTTTAGGCAGAGTCAGCAGCAAACACAGGGTCCTCATGCAGACACAGGCAATGGGGTAATTTTTATGGTGCAAAAATATGCAAGATAATTATATGATACGAGTCACTAAATGCAGACATCACTGTGCAGTAGGGGATTTTTGTTCTACCTTGCCCTTGGCTCCAAGCCACCTATCACCACAGGAGGAGGAAAAAAAATACCCTCAAAGTACCCAAGTTTCTGAAAACACTGGAAACTACTTCTCTGGGGTCTAAGGGTACTCACTGCCTCACAAAGTCAAAGCCCTTCCCAAAACTGACACCCACCGCACCCAGGGGGCAGGCAGATGCACAGAGGAGGAATGTTCCTGCTGTTAAGGCTCGCTTACCCAGAGGGGGACATAAATGACCTTCCTCGATTCTGGTGCTGGTTGGGTGGACAAATTTGGACAACTCGCTTGTCCCCTTTGCCATCAAATAACAGGGGTAATGTTTAAGATTCCTTGCAGAACACAGAGATCTGCTTGTAAGGAGAACTCTGTGTAAGAAATGGGGATCATTTGATTGTGAGCAGCAGCTCACAGTCCTGCAGAGGAGCATGCCACAAATGTGAGGTCTCTGTGCAGCAGCGCAAGAAGAGATGAGATACTTTTCTCACCTGCCATCCTGCCCTGAGGAGTGTGTGCGCCTCCTGCAGAAAGAAACCAGAATAGTAGAGTTTGAGGACCGATTTGAGACAGAAATCCTACGCTGCCCCCAAATCTAACTCCCCACCCCATGAGGGAGATGTTCTACTTAATAGTTGACACTTCTCCCAGCAATAATTAATCCCATCAAAGCTGTGTCTGCTTGCTCCCAGGAGAGATTTAATTAAAATCGGTCATTAGCATTCCAGAGCATAGGGCAGCCTGCCGAGATCTGCAGCATGAAGAGGAACGGCAGCGGGAGCAGGGGATGAATGCTGTCCTCACCTGTACCTGGGCTGCTCAGAGGTCTCCGAAGGGGATCGCTCAGGAACAGAGAGAGATGTTGAAGATAGTGTTGTGGCTATGGAGGCCGTAGTAGCTTCTTCAAAGGAAGGAGGCGTGCAGGGTAGCAGGTCTGGCCTGCCTGCTGGCCAGAAGCAGAGGGCAGGAGAAGTCCAGGAAGAAAAAGATGAGTAGGTCAAACACCAACACCTCACCTACACCAGCCCTGTGCGAGGCTGTGCCACCATCAACCTGCACACCCTCACTGGGACCGGTCACTTAAAACCACAAACAAGCAAGAAGTTTAGCTGGGTTCATGAACACAACAGCTTCTCCCCAGGCATCCTCTAGAGAGAGCCAGTAAGCACCATTTCCAGCATGACAGACAGACGCTACAGGAAACATAATGCCAATGAAGACATCTCACTGGTAACCAAAGCTGGATTAAAGGCTTGGGTCGCCAGAGATAAATAGCCAAGTGAATTAAGAGATGAATCGAGTGCTCACTGCTTTGCCCGGGTAGAAATCTAACACCTATGCACTCGAGGAGCCTGTCCTTCACCACTCTAGCCCAGATGGAAGTGATGAAAAGGCAGCACAGAACTAGGCCATTTGTCTTTTTTCGATGGCAAGATCTTGACCCTTATACTGTCATTAGAGTCATGAAGTTTCCGGTGTTGTACCCCCCCTTTTCTTTTTTTAAGAGTGGAAAATTCAACTTTCTGATCACGTTTGGGCTATGACTGCTGGTGCCAGTTGGCAGCAGCTGCCTCGCAGCAGTGACGCAAGCGACCATTTTTACTGCAGAACCATACAGTGCTGCAAAGAAGGGATTTGGTCTTCTCCGATGCAGAGGCGTTGCTTCCCCAGTCAACTAACCGTTGGTGCTGTGACAAAACCCCCTGTCCTGGTTAAGTTTAGCACCTGCAACGCACAGCAAGACATGCAATGAAGCGCTGTGCCTCAAGGATGACTTGTGGTTGCTGCACAGTGGGGAACTTGACGAGTAGAGGGGAGGACCCTAAAGAACTGTTAAGAAGAGGGTAATCACACAGCCATCAGCCACCAAACAAGACCATTACCTTCATCATCAAGCGTAGGGTAACTCCTGGCTGCACGAAGATCATACTGTGTTTCGTCCTTTTCAGAGGGAAGCTGGCTAGCTGAAAACGCAGCTGTTGGACCTGCTGTCTTGACAGCTAGCAAGGCACTACGCCCTTTCTTTGAGGGAGATGACTTCAGAGCTGGATGAAAAGAGGGAAAGAAAAGAAGAAATTACTACCAACAACTACTGTAACACCAAAGGCACTTCATAGGAAGATGCCTCTGCCCTCTGACACACACACATGTGCTCCACAAGCGCCATCTCCAAAGGGCTGAGCCTGAGTCGGGCTGCAGGGAGAGCTCCTGGGTGGGAGTCTCAGCAGACCAAAGCAGTGACAACACGAAGGCTTTGCAGTTCCCCAGCTTTGCTCTATATTACAGCAGAAAAGCCCGCTCAGACTCCGGCCCAGAAACTCTCCACGTGGACTGAAGCAGCAAGATGGAGATAAGGCTCTGCCTCCCCGACACCACAAGGACAACAGCTCTTGGATTAGGTACTTACAGGAATTCTTTCGAAACACCGTGTTGGTCATGAATTTGAAGAATCTCTCTGCATAAAAGCTGGGTCTGTGTACTGACACTGTGTCCTACAAAGGCAAGAAGCAATTGTTTTAATTTTAAAATTATCCCTCAAGGCAGAATTTCTATAACAACCAATGCAGTCTTTTTTATTCCAACATTTAGCACTGATCGAGCCTTAAAATGGAAAGGCTTAACTGAAATGATCTGATTAATGCTATAAATAAGCCTGAAGCATTGCCTTTGATTTGATTGCATTTGATTATATTCTTGCTGTAATTTTATAATGGATTTTGGTGATTTTATTCCTTTGTCGACTTCCTGGATTTTTCAAATATTGGCCTGATTACATACATAAAATTTCTTCTGGCTTTGCTGGCTGACATTCAAAGCGCACCTGGATACCTTTGCATATGACACAGGCACAAAAATTCAGCCAAGGGTCTCCATACATTTCAAACGTTTTGCACTTTTTGCTTAAAATAGTAAAACTGAAGCTGTCTCTGCTTCTGATATTCGACTGATCTACCATGACTTAGCATCTACACATTTCCTTTGCCTTATTATTTAAGGGAAGCTAGGATATGCAATGCTGAAAAATACTTTCCACATCCAAGTTTGCTCTTTTGTCAACATGCACCTGGCTGCTGCGGGAGACAAGACAGCAGGGAAACACTGAAAAGGATTTATTAACAGATAGCTTACTGAAGTGGAAACACAGTCAATCACCAAAGAGAGCAAATGCAGGACTCCAACACATACACAAATGCACGCGCCTTGTGCGTACAGCTCCTGGTATCATGGGGAGGAGGAAAATGACAGATGGGAGCAGAGGAGGAAAGCTGGTAGCACGACAGCTAAACATGCGAGGAGGTGGAGTGAGCAAGAAAACCTGATTGGGAATAAGTGGCACTACACCCCTGTGGAGGCATAAGAGGCAAGAACTATTCCTTTCATCAGCTTCAACTGTGCCAGTTCAGGCACTATAAATAGCAAGGTAATCAGCACCAACGAGCATAAACGAAGCCAAGACAGGTAATCCTGCCGAGGCCTGGACAATTCCTGCCCCTGCACAGGCACTCACCCCATCATGGACAAGGGCCTTCCAGGTATGTTCTAGCTTCTTGATGAACCTAATTCCAGGGGAGAAGGGGAGAGAAAAAGAGAGAGACAGATTCAGGCACGTACTCTGTATCTAAGCCACCTTTCATACCCCACACAGGAGAGATCACTGAGCTGCTAACGATTCCTCCTTCATCTGGAGTGTAGCCAAGAGAGGTCAGCTGAGCACAGCGGCATCTCTGCAGTCAGGTCAGAACTGCCTGGGAACCCTACAGGGAAGGAGGAGCTGGGCTGGAAGAGGGGCAGAAAATTACCTGGAGATACGATACCCATCTGAGGTGCAGAGACGGGAAACTTCTTTGTGCGCAACTCATTATATCTTAGAAAAATGGTTCTGTGTCACCAGCTGTTCTAAGGACAGGATAAAAATCCACAGCCCCCAACATGCATCGACAGACAGCTTTAAGCAGCCTGCCTACTCATTATCAAACTCTTCAGGAGAGGAAAATCTTCCTGCTTTCATTCAGTATTAAAATAGCTGTTAACACACTTAAAAGGACAGACGACTGCAAAGTTACCTACCTGTATGACTGAAGGATATCTATTATTCCTACATGAAGCAGGAGACGCTCTCCTTTGCCATTCACTGCTGGGATTCCTCCCATCCTGCAGGTAAAACAAAACCTCAGCAAGTGCAACCTTAAAAAGAGCAGCTGTAATACCCCTGAGCCCTGCGGAAGGGCGGACAGCAGCACTCAAAAGGGGGCTCTGACATGGTGGTCAGATACAATGCAAAACCTGCAAAGCTGCTTTGCGCACAACCACGGGGAGTCACCTACCGACCCAGGCCATCTCGCACAAGGTGTCCCTGGGGTTACTGCCAGTCTGGATCCCCAAACACCAACTATCAGGACAGGAACTGTGTCATGTGGCAACAGCTCTGCCTGGGCCAGAAAGCACCACGTCATTTTTTCTTAGCTACAGGACGTTTTATTCTGGGGATCAGATTATTTATCAGGTCAGTGCGAGCTGTCTGCCTATGAAGGCAGCAAACCTTTAAGGATGAGGGTATTTGCAGTCCCATCCACACTAATATCAGTCCTGCCAAAGGTGCAGCAACCACTAGCACCAGCACACAACAAAAGCATGCAGGTATCAGGCAGGCCACTGCAATTAGAGATGCTACTTGAAAGAATGGAAACACCAAAGTATTATCCTGGCTCCACGGTGACTCATCCTCCATCAGAACTGGAGCAACTGGTTTCAGACAGCAACAAAGAACAAACTTCACTGTGTGTTAGCAAGCTTGGTCCACAGAGCCAGAGATAGAGTCACAAGAGCCACCTGCAGCCCAAGAGCCCATAGATCAGGCACAGCACAGGACAGGTTTTGGGCAACCCCCCAGCCCACAGCTCCACCAGCTGCTCCAGCACTCAGCTACGTTGCTGCTTGCTAACTGCACTGGGAAGCCCTCAGAGTACTGTCAAGGATTCCAAAGATGGAGTGATGGAGAACAAATTCCAGGCTCCTAGGGACAGGCTGATCCCTACTTCCACTCCAGTATTTGGACACTGAGCTAGAACCCAGTGGATGTTTCTCCCAGTGGATGTTTAGAGGCTGTTACAGGACCTGACAACATACAGACTGGCCTAAGAAGAGAGATCGCCGCAAAGTGGAAGTCTTACACAAATATTTCCCACCCCAGCTTCCCCCTTTCGCACCACCCTGCTTTACTGGCAGCAGTACCATAACTCCCCAGAGAGACGCTCGCTCGAACAGTTCAGTTAGGGATTTACTACTCCAGCCTCCACCTCTGCCCTTCCCAGCAGCGCAAGAGAACCTGGTTTTCACCTACGTGTCGTCTGTGTCTATGGACTCCCCCCGGGCAGCCCCACCCTGGATGGACTCCATGGCCGTGGAGTAAAGTGCCTTCTGCCCCACGGGACGCTTCTCATCCGACGTGCTGTGGGCTCCCTCAGACTGTCGCTCCCGTTCTTGCTGGTCTATGTTATGAACCCCAAGCAGGAGGCTGTAGTCCATGATTTTAAAACTTTCCAACACCTACAGGTTAGTATTGAGTTTAAGAACAAAGACAAAATATCAGGCCAGCAGCTCAAATACAGCACAGATCGCAAAGCACGGAACAGCCCGTCCACATTCCCACTAACAGCTCCTTCGCCAGAGCTTGAGTGTTTCTGAACCAAGAGTCATCTCTGGATTTGATCGCATAGGGTTTGGCCATCCCACAAACAACCCAAAGGGCTGAAGGCTTGCAAATAACACTGTTCTACCTTGCATCTGCTGCCCGCTGTAGAGGGAAAATGTATATAGTCCCAACAGCCCAGCTACAAGTGGAGCAGGCTTCCACAGTTTGATGCACCAGGCAAAGGAACACAGCCTTAGTCCTCAGAGGCTGTCAGGCAATGCACTCCACTGCTTTGCTTTCAGGGAAAAGGGCAGTAGAAGGGATTTATCCTGCTTTGGGGTCAGCAGATTAGCAAGGTTCTCAATCGTTTGCTCTTCCTCATGCTCGATGAGCCACAGAACTTCATTAACCTGCTCCTCAAGATGTCCCCCCTCCTTACCAGACAGTCTCGTTGCAATGTTTTCACCAATGCACTGAAGGTGTCTGCATCCAACATCAGGCCCTCGGGCATGTCTTGTATGAAGTCGAGATCCTTGTATGTAGGGCTGGACTTTTCTTTTTCCTTCTTGGATGCCCGGCGTTTATAGGTCGAGCCTTTCAGGTCAAATTTCAGGTGCATTTTCACCACGCGAGGCAGAATGTTGTTCATCACGACCACACGGATGTTTTTGCCCCCCGATTGCACACAGTACAGTCCATAAAACTTCGGCAGCAGCGTCCGTGGGTTCTGGTTCAGATTCTGCAGCAGGGTTGGAACAAAAGCATGGCGAAAGGTCACTTTGGCAGAGGACTCCTGCTGCGTTCAACTCATGTTAACAGATCTCGGAGCAGTCAGACTAGGGGTTCTTCACCTAGAGATTTTCTGAACTTCAGGAGAGCTTACTGTACGCATTTGACAAACTCTTGCATTTCAGTGGCTTTAGGACCTGAAAATACCACTATGCCTTGAATACAGGGAATGAGATGTTCAGCACTCTCTGGGCAAATAACCAAGTCCGGAAATTCCCCGCTTCCCCCATCAACAGCAGCTAAAAAAGGGAAACCAAACTGGAAGAGAAATAAACACAATAAGTGGGAACTTCAAGTTTAAAAATAACAGCTATCTTCATCTCTTCAGAAGTGACAGAAATCAAGAGCCGTTCTCTGGCCCAGAATAAACCAGGGACGTGGTATTTTTTTTAAACAAAACAACATTAATTTTCTGCTCCTTTTGCAGAGTTGCTTTATAAACCACAGTTGGCCAGAGAGCACGGATATCCTGATGTGCTATCATGTCCTTTTTTTAGGCAGCGGTATTATTAGGAATGACATGACAGGCATGATTTGCTTGTTCAGCTTTGGGAAAATTTGGGAAGGAAACAGAACATCTCTGCACGCTACAAAAGAAAGGACAGACCTGACAGATTCCCTGACCAACGGCAAAAGCACAACTGTATTAAAATTTCATGCCCCTCCTCATCTCACCTAACTGGGCACACGAGTGAGCCCTCTTTGCAAGCGCACTGTTCAAATCAGTGCAAGCTAAAAGCAACAGGGGCAGGCAAGACCGAACACAAACAGCACTCGCCCAGCTCTAAAGTAATTCGGGATGAAACCACTCTGCTTCCTTTCCACTGACTCCTTTTACACCAGATGGGTTTCCCAAGAACAGCAGAGCAATTGTGCGTTAGGAGCGCAGTAACCCAAAACCACTGGAATGCTGGGAGGACAGGCTGGGAGAGTTGGCGGGGTTCAGCCTGGAGAAGAGAAGGCTCCGGGGAGACCTTAGAACCCCTTCCAGTGCCTAAAGGTGCTCCAGGAGAGCTGGGGAGGGACTCTGGATCAGGGAGTGGAGCCATAAGACAAGGGGAGGGATGGTTTTAAACTGAAGGAGGGGAGATTTAGGTCAGATATTAGGAAGAAATTGTTGACTGTGAGGGTGATGCGGCACTGGCCCAGGTTGCCCCGAGAAGCTGTGGCTGCCCCATCCCTGGAGGTGTTCAAGGCCAGGTTGGACGGGGCTTGGAGCAACCTGGGCTGGTGGGAGGTGTCCCTGCCCAGGGCAGGGGGTGGGACTGGGTGGACTTTAAAGGTCCCTTCCAACTCTAACCATTCTACGATTCTGACTAGCACATAACTGCACCAGACAGGTAAGTTCAGTTTAATTCGTTACAGTGATTGCTAGCCAGGACAACTGCAGAATTCAGGACAACAGTGTAACTCCATACCCATTCAAAACCTGATTTACTACATACATTACGCAACAGACAACACTTTCCAAGAAAGCTCATGTTGTCCAGGAACTTCACTGTCACTTGCAAAAGCAAACAACTGGCTCTCAGTTATAAACAGACACCCAAGACCCTGTCTCACTTTAGCAATTTTTCAATCTTTACTGATTAAGTAAGGCAAGTTTTTTCATAAAATCAGTGTACGATCACATAAACCAAATCCACTGCAACACGCATGCAGATGGGGCAGCAGCAACATCGCTTGCCATCACCACCTCCTCAGCATCTCCACAGCAAACAAATCCTTGGGTGGTTCTAACTGAATTTCAGTGCCTTCATCTATAGAGCTGGACCCTTCACCACAGTTTTGCAGGGACACACCTCCTGGTTTACAAGCCAAAGCATCGTATTTGGTTCTGATTTACTACTTGTCACCACATGCAAGTCCTCTGGGTCTTAATATATTGCCCTGCCAGACCTGAGATTTAGGCAACGACTATCTGCAGCAGACTGGAGGTGCAAAGCTGGCCGGTACCGCAGGAATCTCTAGCTTGGTACTGCAGCCAGTGGGAGGCAGGAAAAGCAGCAACTGCCTTCGGAGTAACTCTGTTAAACAGCAGATATGGGAGATATCCAGGGACAGCAGAGGTTTCCCCACAAAACCAAGGTGGTTGTGTTACTGCTGTCCACCAGGCTGAAGAAGATGCGTGGTGCCAAGCGAAGAAGAATGAACTAGTGCTGGGAAAAGGACACCCAGAAACACACATCTGGGAAGCCGTTTGCGGTCTAGAACATGCCTACAAGCTACGGCACAATTATCTGCCTCGAGTTTACCCACAGAGTTTGCAAGTAACTGGCAGGATTTGTGCTTCTGGGACTGGCTTTGTAACACAGTGTTAATCTTGTCCCTGGCAGAGGGAGGGCAAATCACAAACATCACAGGACATGCCCTGTGCAATGCTTCAGACAGAAAAGCTGCCACGACAAACCCAAGGTGGGTCCAAGGTGCTGGGTGATACACACCATGTAGTAGCCAGGAAGGAGCTTCTGTAGGAATTCAGCTTCCTTGTGCATCACAGTTTTTATGATGAATTCATCGTCGCTGGTGACATAGAAGAGGGAGCCGCTGGCACCAGGGTTCGATAGCTCTATCAGAGGCTCGTTACATAACGAATACTAGGGAGGAAAAGAAAAAAAAAAAAATTATTTTTAGCCCCCACTCATTGCACATTGAGTTCTACGCCCTTGAGGGCTTTCCCCAGCATGCTGTCTCCCTGTGAGATTAAGGGGTAGCAAAGCTTCAGTGAGAACTATTTTCATTATAGGTTAGGTCTAAGCAGCAAAGCTGATGGACAATTTGCAATTAGAGACCGAGATTACAGTTCAGAGCATCCCAACTGTTCAGAATCAAGCTAATAATCTGCTTTCAGTAACATCCAGGCTCCATAATGACATCTTATCTTTTCCCATTGTGCGTGTATCACATTTCGGCTTCTTTCAGCACATTACCGCAAGCGCAGACAGAAAGACAGGATTTTAAGAGACATGACAGTCTGCTCAGGGTACCACTATCACCGTGCTGGAGGGAACACGGTGCACTGGCTGTTCTCAGCAGCCTCCTCTGGCCTTGTGCTCCCCTGTGACTGAGGATTTTTACAGCCACATCTCATCCCCTCAATCCTGCTAGAAACACGTGAAAAGTATTAGACCAGGTGTCCAACCAAGAAGAGGGATCAGTGCCGTGTAAGCACAGCAAGGGGTACTGCATTGACAACTGAACCGGGAGGAGATTTCTGGACATCAGTACGCAAACAGCAGGTCCTCAAATGAGGACATGCCTAGCAGCAGGGAAAAAAAAAAAAAAAAGAAGAAAGCAGAAGCATGCACATGCACTTTGCAGCTAGGTACTAACCCCAAGGTAACTGCGTAGGTTGAGTGGGATCAGGGCAGCATCGCATGAACGCTGCCACAGCAAGAGGTAAGATGGGGAGAGGGAGGTAGGCTATGCAAGGGACATAATCAGGGCAATAAATTAAACGCTCATCATTACGTACTGAAAACAGCTTTCAGCCCTGCACAGATTAATGATCCAAGACTTTATCAAGTTAATTATCTCATGCATAATTAAAGGCATTTGCTGCTGTGGCAGGCAAGAGAGAATCAGGGGAAGCAGAAGAAACAAATCAGCGCTGTGACCTTTGCAACGGAGGCAGGCTCTTTGCCTCACCCAAGTTTTGAACCACTCATCAAATCAGCCAGCATTATCCCGGCTGGCACAGATGGGGACCGCGGTTACTGTCAAGCCGTGCAATGGCACAGATTTGTTTCTACTTGTAGGTGTTCAGCTATGATTACCCCCATCTACAGCTGAACTCAGAAAAAAAGGGCTATTAAAAAGGGGGGAGGGCCTGCGCTCATTTGGATGTGTTCTCTTCCCCAGTTCAACAAACACCCTTTTCTAAAGAGCAGGACGTCACATACATGCAAGGGATCAAATTCAACCCCAATGTACTCCAAGGTATTTTAAAAACAGCCTTTCCAGCTCTGAGGAGCTTTCTGAGCACAAGAACAAGCTGTATTTCATTCTGTCTTTGTAAGACGATTAAAATAACTACACTCACATAGCTCTCGAGTGAGTACACAAGGAAAAATTCCCATCTTTGTCCTCAGAGCCCCAGGGGACATTACAGGGTTGCACCCAGCAGAACACAACTCCTTTTGCTTGTAAACACAGTCAGTTATTGTCACCACAAGCAACAGGGAGGGAACCCCATGGCATAGCTTACACAGCACACGCTGTAGGCAGATCGTTTCCTCTCCAGTGTAAGCTAGCAGCTACCTCTTAGCAAACAGACTTGGGCTGAGTGGTGCTGGTCTTGCTGGGACTGTCACTGGATCTCCTCCTAAACTGAACAGAGTTCCTAAATCCACAGCCTGTTTCCACTCCTTACTGGGATCAGAACCATTCCTCAACTCTTTTCTGTCCCTTTTAGGCAAGAATTGCTGACAGCCTTGATTTAGGGGCAAATCTCTTAGGGGCAAATCTCTTGTGTTACTCTAGACCATCTCAAATAAAGGAGGAAAGACAAAGCAATCCAAAAATACATCCATACCAAATAATCATCTGGACGAATCCCAAAGAGTTCTCGGAAGTACCGAAAAGCCACTGGTGCATAGGTCTTGAACCTGAAGTCAGCGTAATGGTGGGCCGGGGTGAGGTTACTGCCTTCGCTGCACAGAACAGACATTCCATGAGCAGAGCCTCTGCATTACCATTCACCCGGTGTGTACAGTCACATCAAGGCTACTGTATATTTAAGATGAATTGAGCCTTGCAAAATGCCATCTTAAGAACAACAATAAAAAATATCTTTCTTCTGCGGCAGGACAAAGGAAAATAGATTTTAAATTATCTGCCAAAAAAACTATTTCCAAAGAGTGCAAGGAACAACCACTTGCCAAGCAGAATATATTTACACAGAGAATATAGCTTTTATGAGCTTTGTTTATTCACAGAGTTAAAGAGCCAAGTTTCTTCCATCTCAATCATGGCATAATTTTGTGGAAGAAATTCTAGATGGACAGGTAGAAAGAGAAGCACACAGGAAAGCTAACAAACCCAAGCGTATCGTACTGCATCTTACATTTCCTTGCAACTCAGTGTACTGCAGAATCTAACACTTCCCACTGTTATGTTTGTACGTAATGGAAGCATACTTAAAACATTCAGAGCATCCAACTCTGTGATCTAAAGACAGATGGAAGCTCTTTTGAAAAAAAATCAGTGAGAGGAAAAGAAATAACTCATCTGTGCATTTTGTTTCCCCTGTCTTTACCTTGGGAAAAAAATGCTTTCCACCACGTAGAAGTCCTGCATCAGGACATCTCTCTCTGGCTTGGAGCTCAGATTGCCGACAGTATATCCAATCCCCAGCTGGATGGCCCCCTTCAGAGTGGATGAGGTGGTCTGGCAGAAAGAAGAGAGCAGTCAGCGAGCATTTCACAGCAGATTATCGTGGTAACATCCCCTATATATATAATACAATACAGTCGTGTCTATGACTTCTATGGGGTCCTCTCGGGCAATACATACTGCTAAACAAGTTCAACCACCTGCTGAAGAGATGGATTAAAGCTTCCAGAAGGTTTGTCGTTTCCAAGACTATGCAGGACAAGGATGCTGCATAAAATCTAAATCAACTTGGTAGCTGTTAACAAACTGAACCAGGAAAGCTCAGCTGTGCTATTGCTAACCTCGAGCCCCAATGTCTCTCTGCCTACACAGAGCTGCCAGTCCCCAGTCCACAAAACCAAACCTTTTTGTAGGTGGTTTCACCAGAAGCATCAACGCCTCGATGACCTATCTTCTTCCCTTGGCCAGGCTGTCCTGGTAGCGACGGTCCCTGCAAAGAAAGAGCACAGCTAAAGCCCAGAACAGAAGCTGACCTGGCCGACCAGAACAAGCAGAGCAGCACAGGCACAACCACACTGGCACGGGGATCGCTCTCTACCACTGGAGAAAAACCCACAGAGTGCAAGCAGGCGTAATTGGCACCAGCAAGCTTTAAAACAAGGCTGTTTGAATTATACATCCATCCCTCAAGACAAGAAGAGTTAGAACACCCAACGACTGACACCCTCAGTGCTAACTGGGCAGAGCCCACAGCAAAGATGCCGAGCTCAGGAGAGATCCGCTTGCTTCTCAGCTGCCAAGATTCCACAGCAGCCGCTGGACTGCAGTTTCTCATTGATTTAAAATAGTGATGAATTAAATCAAACAGCAAGAGAAGTTTATTCTTAAAAATCCCATGCCCTCAGGTGTCATACCAATAGCTCACGCTTCACTGGAGAAATAAAGAGACAGATAACAGGGAGAACCCAACCCCACTCCTGCATTCACGTGGAGATAATCCACCTAAGCGAGATCTCATTTGTTTACAATTCAAAGGACGAGCCCACACAGGGTGAACTGTAACACCAGCTCTTCCTGAAGTTTTGCAAAGAGCTTACAGAAACACTGTAGGACCACCAGCGCTTCAGAGTGCGAACAAACCTACTCCCACCGCATTCTCCTCCTCTTCTACCTCTGAGTCTGCCTGGGCCTTATTTTGCTGATCCAGGAGGGAGCAGATTGTGGCTGTACCCTTTAACAAGCCAACACAATCATGTTTTGTGACGCTCAGTAAGGTGCTTTTGCAGCCCCAAGTGTGGGGCCTCTGTACTCTGCCACAGGGCAACATCTCACCCACTCCCCGGCCCTCGCACCGCCCTAGCGGACAGTGGGGCCCAGAGAATGGCCAAAACTGCCAGTGAGCCACATCTGGGAGTCCGTTACATTAAAGAACGGGCAGGCTTTGGATGTTCCTTCAAGCAGCATGCAGAGAGATCCAAGGTCATTTCCTAAGTGACAGTATGATATCACTCTCTCTCTCAAGTGCCACACAGACCCATCTCTCAGAACTGATGTCTACAGAAGACAATGCATAATTTTGTGCAGACTACAGAAGTTCTTTGTGTTTTAGCTTTTAATCAAGAGCTTGCAGCTATTTCTGGTCAAACCGCTTATACTTCTGGTACTAAGGGGCAGTCTGATTTCTCCTTCAAAAAAAAACCCCAAGAACCTTATTTCCCACTCAGTTTTAAACATTTAGCACAGCCACGTTTGCTTCCGAGTACTCCTTCTCCGAGCAGTCGTGATTAGCAGTACAGCTTATCCTTTCCTTGCAGCTTCTAACCAACAAGCTGCACCCTATTACAGGCAAGCTCAAGCTGTATCGTCCTGCCTCGCCACGTGGCTCATCATCATCCTCTCAAAGCAATTAACAGACCCAGGTATTGGTTAAGAGATTGCCATCATATGAAATGCAGGAACAAACGTCTCTTCCACAGTCCCTTGTCCACCTGTGACTGTGCTTCCAGGGGATTATTTGTGCGTTGAATGAAGCAATCAACTTCCACAGAAGTTGAGCTTCCTACTATGCATATTTCTGGGGAGGCAAGAAGGAATCAAGTGTCACATTCCTGGCAGTTTTCTGGGAAGATTTTGCTATTTGTGTATACAAACGCTCATCATCCCAGGTGAGTAATGTAAAACGGTATGGCAGAAAATTAGATCAAACAAAAATCATTTGAACATGGTGCCCTAAACCAAGAGTGTGGGCTTCAGGGAACAGCTTTCAGGCACAGGTCCTCCTACTAGATTCCCTGCTGCCAACTGTGAAGAGTTTTGCTCCAGAAGGTAACAGTGATTCAGCAACCTGCGACCTGGATTATGTGTGAGAGAATATCAGTCCCTGGAGATGTTCCCCTGTTTTACGGCTTCAAAAATTACAGCCTCCTCGACTCGCTCCCAGGAGTGGGTGAGACCCACAGAGCCCTGGAAATGCCCAATGCACAGATTCGCCATTTACCACCTGCAGGTTCTGGTGTGGAAGAGGTGCCCTCAGCCACTTACTTACAGACATCATGGATCATGCAGCTAAAATTGGCCACGTGGTGGGCATAATCCCTTCACATCCCCTCTGTGACTGTGGTGATGCCAACACAGCGTCTCCAGAGACCTGCCACTAATTTCCTTTCTTCCAAATAACAGGTATCAAATTTTCAGCAATTTCAAATATATTCTGAAATCCAGCTTTGCTCAAAAAAGTCAGGCAGCAGTGTTTTCTAGAGCTCTGTGTTCTCATTTCTCAACACGGGGTTTTCAAGGCCAGCTTTACACATCTCACCTCGGTGATGGCTGCCTTCTTCGGTGCCAGACCTGAGAAGGAGAAGGGAAGAGCATCAGTAAAAGTAGGGACATCAGAACAAAAAAAAACCTCAAACCACGGAGAAAATAGCCTAAAGCTTCGCTCTTTCAAGCAAGCTGGAAAGCCTTTAAAAGCAGCTGGTTCACTAGTGCAGGAGTCTGAAGTTGCAGGGGTCACCCAAACAATTTCATATTCAGAAGCACAAAGATGCGCAATTTTTCCTAGCAAGAATGTTTCCTAGAGGCTTCAGTAGAGAGAGTTCTTGTAAATCCCTGCTGCACCGTAAGTAATAGGTCCACACTACACTGAAAAGTCCGTTCCAGACAGAAGCCCAGAGAGACACTTCCAAAGCTGCTTTCCAGCCACTCAGAAGGCACTTGACAAACTATATTGATAATTGAATCTATTTATAGAATCCAATGTCCAAATATATCGCAAAAATGAATGCATCATTTATCTCTACTGCTGCCTTTGGGAGAAGCCACCATTACTGCATTACAGTGAATGGTGAGAAATTAGGATTTCGCCTAAAGCTTTTAGATAGATAATCAGAGTTAGAAACACGGGCCCAAACCCATCCTTCTGTTTCCCAGCACGAGCCTGAGCTTGCAAGAAGCTCCTTATTCTTAGGCAACAGTGAGAACAGGCTCCTCTGCTGCCGGCCCCGTGAGGTGTTGGCTGATCTGTCGAGAGCCTCATGTGTGGGACCACAAGCTCCAGCCCAGCTGACTCTGGAGAGCCACCGTGAGCAAGGACCAAGAGCTGCTTAAGAAGAAGAGCTGCCCACCCCATCCCGGCAGCACAACATCCCCAGTGCCCCCCAACCACCTTGGCATGCAGAGCCCAGGTATTAGGAGAGAAGCCCGCTTGCAAAGAACACAAACCCAAGGGATAGACTTAAGGTACAAGTTTGCTGCTACCTGCTCCTGTCTGAAGTGTTCCTACAAGCACAGACCGTTAAGAGATCCACAATCCTTTAGAAAGGGCTTAATTTCACAAGAGACCATTGAGTGGAGCTTGAGAGTTTTGGCTGTGAAGGAGAAAGGCCCTCTTCCAAGCCCTCAACTTTTCCCCGTTTGAGGGCAATGGGTGGATTGCACAAACCGACTCGAGAGGGATATCTGCTCTCCTCAAGCTGGGGTTGGTCCCCAGGGGGAGTGGGAGACGGCCAACCCTCCCGGCTGGAGAGGGGGCTGTCCTGGTTTGAGCGACACAGGACTAATTTCTCTTCTAATGCTTGGGAAAACTGCACTTTCAGAAGACTCTACTGGCTGAGTTTGGGAAAATATTTACTTTTAGCCAGCTGTGGTGTGTGGGTTTCAAGGTCTCAGTGGTTTCGAGCTCGCTGGGTGCCGGGATAAGGAGGAGCGAGACCCGGGCACTTGACCCAAGCTGCCAACAGGGTTATTTCATACCAGGAATGGCACATTCAATACCAATTAGAAAGTTTGCTGAGGAGTTTCTCTCTCTCCCGTGATGACTGTGATGCTGAAAACTCCTCACCCCAGTGCTGCAGCCCTGAGCCCTTCCCTTCCTCCCGAAGCCGCAGCACTCGCAGTGTCCAACATTTGCTGTCCCCGTCTGCGAGTGCACAGCTTCTACGGATAGAATGGGCTGAGTATGCTCCTTGTGTATTTTCTGTTGGCGTCGGGATCAATACTGGTTCTTTAGTGTTATTAATGTTAATTATTTAGTCTTATCCTATTAAATCTGTGTATTTCAACCCTTGTGTTTTCTTGTTTTTCCCCGATTCCCCTTCCCAGGTGGGGAGGGCTCACCAGGTGAGAGAATAACTGTCTAAACGACAATAAATCGTGGCTTTCTCAAACCGTAACAGGTGTAAAGCCCAGAGGATGCAGCCCAACATGCCACTGCTTCAGCATCTCCCCTGTTTGGCCAAGGAAGAACTATGATGGTTTAACTTGGGTAACTGCTCATCCTCCTCAAATACAAGCAGCAATGCTTCAGGGCTTGTTTCAAAAGGAGCGTGAGCAAGGAGTCAGGCATAACAGGAGCGTGATGCTCTGCAAATGACAACAGCGCTAGGAGAGCGTGTGATTCAGTTACATTTCAGGAAATATTTCAGACACTGGGAAGCAAAAAATAACAACAAACCCAATAAAAACCCTTGGGTGATCACAGGGGAGACGAAATCGCTCTCAATGAGAAGTCCTGAGGCCACCTCACCGTCCAGTCTCAGCAAACTAGGTGCAAAACAGGTCTTGCCAGTATGGCATTTTGAACTGACTGCAACGCAGCCCCCCAGCCCGACACCTTGGCCCGCGATTGCAAAGCCAGAGCGGCACGGCAAGATTCAATTCTTGTCCCATTTTAAATCGTGCTCTCTAGTGCCAAAGTCTCACGTCAGGAAGAGAATCCAGGACTGCAGCAAAGGTCTGAAATCCTGCTCCCTCCATGCCAGCTGCATCGCACAATCCCATCTCAGACAGCAGGAGGGGAAACAAGTGGAGCGGGAACCCCTCACCGGTGCGGAGCAGCTCCCCTCCATCACCCACCTGGGCTGCACATCCCTCGGCCAAGGGGACGTCCCCTCCACGGACATGAAACCCCATCACCCTTTAGAACTGCACCAGCACACAGCCCAGAGGACCACCACTACCTCCAACTCTGCATCAGTTCTTGTGCTGAAAAATTAGTCCTTTGGCCTAAGACAACACCCTTTTATGATCGCTCAACAAAAAGCCCTGCAATGGCCGGGGGAGCAGCAGGCATGGCACTGAGCGAGCATTTGGCTAACGAACTTTCAGGGCACCAAGCTGGAGCAGCAACTCAAGACCGCAAAGGAACCCAAATGGGCAAATGCTGCTGCAGGGTGAACACTGGAAATTGCTGGGAACGCTGGAAATCACCAGGAACACAACATGGCCAAGAGGGCCCCAGGTCAGGCAGACTACGCTCTCCCCACCACGGCCGAACCTGCTCTCCTACTGCACTAATCTCTCTCCTGCACTTTGTCACAATTCCAGAGCAGGAGATTATCTTTAATTTTGTGATAATTACCACAAGCCGCTTTCATTCCCTGCTTTTAAGTGTCTGCTGCTGTACACGTACCAAATGTGGAATCAACACCAACCACCCACACGAAGGAAGGGTACCAGAGGTGAGGAACTGTGGATGTCAAGGAGAAAGGATGCTTCAGGTGGACAAGAGCACCACCAGCAAAACCTTCCCTCACCCCCCTCCCCTCGCCCCTCCAAAACCAACACAAAAATGGCTTTATAAAATCAACTTGTCTAGGCAGAAAATGAAAAAAAAATAATCTTCCGCTGGCTTCTCGGTGCATGGCACTCGGCTGTGCTCATCTCAAACAAGCTGACAGATGGCCTAGCAAAAACTGATTTAACTCCAGCTTCAGGGGTTATACAGCCACGGGAGACAGCACTTGGGTTTGCGGGGAACAGGAGCTCTGCTGCAGGAAGTTTCAGCATTTAACAAGCTAATTGAAATGATTCTTATCGGATTTGGTGCAGCTTAGTGAGGGTGTATTCAGAAACGTGACGGGTGGCTCTGGAAGGGGAACCCCAGGATGGAACCCCAGCTTTCCACCATGCCTCCAGCTCATGCCCAGGTTTTGCAGTGCCTTTCACACACGCTTGACCTGCTGCCTTCAGTTCCTCTGCTCATCTGTGCACAGCTTTGAGTTGACCCTACCCCAACGCCCAAGCTCCTCGGCAGCCTCAGAAACGAACACTTCGGTTGTAGCGTCCAGCAATTCTCATCCCTGATTTAATATCTACTTTTTTCCTATGCCTCTCTATTCACAGCCACAACCGCCTCATCCATCCCCACCACGACACTGACACCCGGCAGGACAGGGATGAATTTACTCCTGGAAACCCTCTGCCTATTTACCATCTGACACAGAATAGGACTTTTGAGTTTTAGCTCTACCGCACCAGAGGAGCATACACCTACACACGGGGGGAGAACCTGCTTCTCCTCTTATGCAATATATTGCGTCAACAAATTGCTGTTCAGACCTTTTTAAGCCCCCACCCCCTTACACATGCTTGATTCCCAGTAAGCAACGCACAACCCAGGCAGGAGGGCTCCCGCTCGCGAGGGAAACCCTCATCGTTACCAGGTTCGTCAGCCTCATAGGTGCATCCGAACTCACAAAAGGGTGCAGGGTTGGGATCAGAGCAGCTCCCTCGGCTTCTCCAGCTCACAGCCTCTCTAGATGCCATCATCGGCGAAATGCAAGTGATGTCAGAAGTTAAGAAGTTAAAAAAATAGATTATAAAAATCATCAAATCTTTGGGTCTAAAAGCAAACTTCATGAAAAACAGAAAATACTGTCCTTGCTTTCCACAACTTAGAATGAGTTTAAGTTGGAAACATGGGTTTCATTTACGTGCAAAGAATAAATTTTAAAATCTAATCAAGGCGAGGAAAACAAAACGTCACTTGGATCTCTGAAAACCAGCTAAGGCAAGTTGACCAGAAAAACCCTTCGTTATAAATCTAGAAAGAGCCATGAGAGGCTTCTATCCACTGAAACGGAATTTTTAAAGAAAGTTTATAATCAACCAGCAGAGGCCTCATTTAAGACCTAATAAAGAAGTCTCCTCTGTAAGACAAATGTACACAAACACGTATATATATTTATAAGATGCTTGATGATGCTTTAGAGAAGTCAAAGTAAGTTTTAATAACTGGTAGATTTATCTGGACTCCTTTATCCAGCCAGAGATAGTGCTGCATCTTTAATAACAGCTCCGCTTTATTAAAGAGTTTACCAGGAGCTATACAATGTGACTGCAACTAAAAATACGGTAGAACATAAACACCACGTAAGCTCTTCAGGCAGAGGCTGTACTGACATGACCCCTCCAAAAATGCAACACATGACAGATTTGCAGTTTGCCACTCAGTCGGGGCAGTTCTCTCAATCAAAGCACAGTTCTCCAGAAGTGCTGGACCAGCAGTTTGTATTTGTTGTCCCTTTTTTTTTTAAAAAAAAAAAAGAATATATTTTTTCTTTGTTTTT